AAGGAACACTGCAACAGGCCTACTGGCCTATGCGAGGCAAGTCCAATTCTCCCACCGGCTTAAGCCAATGCCTTGACCTAGTGATGTTAGACACGTCACTTATGGGAGGAGCAGGGCATCCGACCTAGTAGCACAAACTAGTCAGGTTCAACTCACACTCACCCACACCCACTCATGTATTTATCCAACCTATTTTTAAAACTACACAACGTCTTAACGTCTATGACGGTACTCGGGAGTTTGTTCCACTCATCCGCAACTCTATTACCAAACCAGTGCTTTCCTATATCCTTCCTGAATCTGAATTTTTCCAATTTAAAACCATTGCTGCGAGTCCTGTCTATGTTAAATATTTTTAGCACGCTATTTACATCCCCTTTATTAATTCCTGTTTTCCGTGTATACACCTCAAACATATCACCCCTAATTCTACCCCTTTCTAGAGTGCAGGTTCAGAGTCCTCAGTCTATCCTCATAGGGGAGATTTTTGATACGTGAGATCAGCTTTGTCATCCTCCTCTGTACGTTTTCCAGTGCATTTATATCCATTCTGTAATACGGTGATCAGAACTGTGCAGCATAGTCTGAATGAGGCCTAACCAAGGATATATAGAGTTGAAGAACAACCTGAGGACTTCTATTGTTTATGCTTCTAGATATGAAGCCAAGAATGCACTGTTGTCTTGGTTTTAGATTACTACTAACCAGAACTCATAAATCCTTTTTGCAATCCGTAATATTAAGATCTACATTATTTAGTTTATATGTGACATGGTTATTTTCCTGTCCAACATTTAGAACTTTGCATTTGTCTATATACACAATATCATATTCATTACCATGATCTACCTCCTCAAACACCTTAGTGAAAAAAGTTGGTAAATTCGTAAGACAGGAACGCCCCTTTGTAAAACCGTGTTGAGATTCATTAATCAAATTATGCCTTTCAAGATGGCTACGAATTGCTTCGGCAATTATTGATTTCATAAATTTTCCCACTATGGAGGTAAGGCTTATTGGTCTATATTACGAATCTAAGGACCTGTCACCTGCCTTGTAAATAGGTACTACATTTGCCATTTTCCACTTATCAGGCACTATGCCAGTTTGTAGTGATATGTTGAAAAGATTAGCCAAAGGTTTGCAAAGTTCCTCTTTACATTCCTTTAACACCCTTGCAAACAGTTCATCAGGGCCTGGGGATTTGTTAGGTTTTAATTTCTCTATTTGTCTGAGGACCATGTCACTAGTTACCGCAATTGTACATAGTTTATTATCGTCCTGTTCTACATAATCTATCACTGTCAGTGATCTGACCAGAGTTACTCTTAAGTGGGCCTATCTTGTCCCTAATCTTAGTTCTGTATACCTGAAAGAACCCTTTTGGGTTAGTCTTCGAATCCCTTGCGACCTTAGCCTCATAATCCCTTTTTGCTTTTCTTATTCCTTTTTTTTATTTCTCTCTTTAACTGAATATATTGATTTCTTAACTGCCCATCCCCTCTTCTGATACGCCAATATATGCATTTCTTTTGACCAATGAGATATATTAATCTATTGTTCATCCATTTGGGGGTCATTTTTGTTAGATCCAATTTCCCTACTCGGAACAAACGTTGTCTGGGCAGCTAGAACTATGCTCTGAAAAATGTCATATTGGCAACCAACACCAGCTACCTGACCTATAGTCAGGACATCCCAATTTAGCCCACCCAGGTAAGTTTTCAGTCCCATGAAATCAGCCAAGCGAAAATCTGGGACAGATTTGATTGCAGTTATCTGGGTAATTCCATGATATATTGAAACTAAGTGATTTGTGATCACTTTCCCAAAGCTCATCATTAACCTCAAGATTATTAACTAGTGATTCTTTGTTGGCAAGAACCAAGTCAAGCAGATTGTTTCCTCTAGTTGGTTCTGTCACAAACTGTTTTAAAAAGCAATCCTGAACCTTATCAAGAAAACCATTAAAAAAAGATTTCTTGTCACATTATTCCAATCAATTTGTCTAAAGTTAAAATCTCCCATTAGCAAAACATTTTCATATCTAGATGCCTTATGAATTTCGTCCCATAACAGCTTACTGCACTCTCTGTCAAGGTTTGGGAGCCTATAAATCACACCCAAAATTAACTTTTCACGACCCTCGAGAAACTGTAGCCAAACAGATTCTGTGTCCGATGTTTCTAATCTTATATCTTGTCTAACACAACAATTTAAATTTTATCTGACGTACATGGCCACTCCACCACCCTTCCTGTTGACCCTATCAGTATGAAATAGTTTATAACTCTGTATGTTGCATTCAGAAGGCATTTCTCTATATTTCAAGTTGAACCAGGTCTCTGTTGCAGCAATAATATCTATATTACCTACACTTGCAGGTAATCTTAGCTCATCTATCTTATTTCTTAGACTCCTACTATTTGTATATTAAATTAAGGGAGCTAGTCACTCGTTGCCCTCGACTATCTCTCTTTGTTTGTTGATCATATGATTTGCCTTTACTAGCAACTTTAGTTTGAATATTGTCTTTTAAACATATCCCTGAGGTATCCTGGTTGTATCTGCTGTTTTCAACTCTAGTACTGCAGCCTGATTGTTTCCCACAGACACTCATACTTCCATAATCTATCGGTTTAAAGTCCTAGACAAGTCATCAATTACCCTCTCAATCGAATTGGCTAATGCAACCACTCCATCCCCAGAGAGATGAACCCCATCCCTTGCATACATATCATGCTTGCCGTAGAATTTGTCCCAGTTATCAATGAATGGGATTGCAAGTCTCTTGCAGTACCTGTCTAGCCAGCTATTTATACCAATTTCCCTAGACATCCATTCATTGCCCACTCCCTTTCTAGGCAAGATGCTATATATGATTAGGATTCCTCCCTTAGACCTGACTACATCTATGGGTGATCTACTTTATCCAGCAGCTCCTGTCTCCTGCCATTCCCGATGTCATTTTCACCAGTACTAAGACAGATAATGGGCTTGTTCCCATTGCCTAACATCATATTATCCAACCTTCTGACTATGTCACCAACACCAGCTCCTGTGAGAGACATTCTCTGTCTGACCTTTCTATCTCTGTTACAAAAACACATATATCTTACCTGAGAATATCCCACAATCAATCTTGTGTTCTTATGTTCCGAGCAGAAACTTGGTTACTTATTGCTTAGTATAAGACTTCGAAATTCCAAGAACACCTGTTCTCAGCCACTTGAACAGCATTTGAACAGCACAGACTTTACTTTTAATGCACTAGTAACTTCAGTCTGACGATCTTTCGTCATTTTCCGGCAGAGCTAACACAGATAAGACAATCACAGACCGTCTTCCGGACTACCCAGGTGAAGCTGCTTCTGGAGACCAAATATCCCATCCATGTTTTTGAAAAAGAGAAACTGCAAGTTGCTATCTAAGCTACCATGCCAACTTGTTGGCCATCAGGCTACCTCGCCACCAGAATTACCAAGCAGCTTCAAGATAGCCGAGGATCTTCAGCTGAACTTGTTGTGCAACACTGCATCACCTGAAGCTACTGAAAAGGAATTTCTCATTTCATTAGTTCGACGTGTCATGCCAGTGGAAGAAATTTAAGTTCTTGAGAATTTGGTGCCTTGATTTCCAAAAATGCTTTCCCATTCATGAGAGTCGAGTTTCTTCCAATAATTCCACCTCCAGCTACTGTTATGGTCTATTGCACCAATATTTTTTTGCTGACATTGCCATATCGCCAGATGAATTTAATGTTGTTAATTCAATGTTGGGTCACTCCAGTTGACAGTTGTTCTTCGCTGTTTGGTAGTGGAGTGGATGATGCTGTTGTAGTCTCACATTTTTGTGTTGAACGGAAGCGTATTTTGTTATTGTTGATGTTCTTGAAACATGACTGGAACAGCTGAGGAAAGCATTTCAGAGCTGAGGAAAGTGAGGCGCTGTGACATCTGACAGATTTGCTTTGCTTTCGTAAGGTGAAGTCTAGAATCTTCTCTTAATTCATGGTATAACTTAACAAATATTTAAGGACAATTGTATTGCAGAGGTTTGAGCAAAACTCAGACCTCTGCAACACATTTGTCCTCAAAGATTTGTTAAGTTATACCATGAATTAAGGAAAGATCCTGGACTTCACCTTACGAAAGAAGACAAAGCAAATGCGATAGTAATTATGGACAAGGTAAATTATAGGGGAAAATAAACATGATATTAGGAGACAGAGAAACTCACGCTCCTCTTAAATCTGCTCGAGATTGTCTCCTGAAGTAGTCATGTAATCCACACAACGAAGAACATTCCTTGTACATAACCTCATGCCTGGTCGTAGTGTGCAGTCAGGACTGCAATAAGTCGTCATTTTTTTCTTAACACTGGTCAGTTTGCAAGCTAAGAACTCATAGCGCAATCTTAGATGTACTTCTTCCCTCCATCGACCCCCATCCCCTACTGTGCCATCCAAGTACCTGTTCATATCTTGTTTAACGGAAGAAACAAGTATACGGAAACTTCTCTATGTGTAAGTCACAGTTGGTGAATGGAAGGTAGATCACTGGATCGGTGCTTAAAGTTTGCGTGCACAATCTAGTTTTCCACGCTGTCTTTGCCCATTCACTGAATAAAATTTCTGTGACTCGATAGCCTCACTGATCAAAAACCAAGCCGTGATTAGCGGAGAGAGTATCGATCTTCCACCACTCCTTGCACTGAATGACCCACACGGTTTAGGCGCTTCATGAAATACAATGCAAATCCCAGCGTCCGGGGGATGCGCCGTGGGCCTGTATGCATGTACGGGTCTATATGCAAGCATGGGTCTGTGAGTGTGTGTGCATGCAAGGGTCTGTGTGTTTTCGTGGGCCAGTGTGCGTGCATGGGTCTGTGTACATGCATAGGCCTGCGTGCGTACATTGGCCTGTGTGAGCATAAACCTGTGCATGTGCAGGCCTGCTTCCTCTTCCAGACTACAAAGATCGTGCGTGTGTACGACTCACCTGTTGACAGAGCCCCAGGACTCGTTAAGAGGAGAGAAGGAACCATCTTGGTTCTCCACCACACGGTATAAGTTGACGTTCTCACCATCTCTCAGCACCAGCAGCGTCACCGTGCGTCCACCAACACCATCCCACAGGTCCTCTCTGCACAACATACACATACTTTATAAACAGTAACATACACACAGCTCTTGGCTGACCTATATAAATTCATTGAAGACGAGTGTTATTCATGTTAATTATAAGTGACTTCTCCAGCTTTCTTATGAGATTAGCGTTAACTACAAGTATGAAAAGAAAGCAACAATGCCGGGGCTACCTTCAAGGGGAGTGCCTTGATGCTTATGAAGGGCTCTTGATTCAAGGAATTAGAGCCATCCTCCCCTTTATTGGATCAAACTTGATTACTTCCCATTCTCTAGGCGCTGTACAAGCCATAAAAGACGAGCGCTTCCTCATAATTCTAATAAAACTAATGCATGGGGACAAGTACGTATCATGACCGCCACTGTGAGAAGACCAGCCATCACGTTTTCTTTTTTAAATCATCACAAGTATCTCCTGGCACTGTTGCTACCTGCCTAGCTACCTACCCGTCTCTCTCTCTCTCTCTCTCTCTCTCTCTCTCTCTCAGCATCGTCAAATGACCCACAGGAGTTTAGAGATTTTTGGTGCTATTAATAATAATATCACTGGCTGGCGTGAACTAGTGTGTTTGTCGATCACTTTAGTTCCAGGGAACGTTGTCTGGATGTATCTTTCATTAATAATAAGCTTGGCATGTTTCCATGCCTGATGGTGTATGCGTATTTGTTCCAATGAATGATGTACATGTTGACATAGGGTAGTTGATGAGTGGAACAGTCTGCCCAGTGGGGTGATTGAAGCTAAGAACTTCGGTAGTTTCAAGTTTAGATTGGATTAATACATGAATGAGAGTGGAATTTGCACGTGAGTAAATAGATATAACAGAGCTTATTGTTAGGGTAGCACTGAAAGTGGGTTGGGCAAACATTCTGTTAGCGGGTTGGATTTGTAGGAGGGACACTGCAGTAGGCCAACAGGCCTACTGCAGTGTTCCTCCTTTCTTATATTCTTATGTTCTTTTTATACTAGTGGGTGGTTCCACTGTGACTCCGCCCACTCCTACTTCGACTCGCCTGACTACAGTACATAAGCAACTTCTCTGGCCATATGTTGTATCTTCTGTACATTGATTCCAGACTGAGGGACTGATTACTCAAACTCCTCCTCTCCTTCCCCTCTTTCTGCTTTGTATTGGACTGAAGAGGGGACAAGTCGTTACCGTCAAATTACCGCCCAATAAGCCTGACCTCCATTGTAGGCAAATTACTAGAGTCAATTATAGCTGAGATTATAAGAAGCCATCTCGATAAGCATAGCTTGATTAATGATACTCAACATGGATTCACAAGAGGCCGGTCTTGTCTAACTAATTTATTAACTTTCTTCAGTAAAGCTTTTGAGGCTGTTGACCACGATAAAGAATTTGATATTATTTACTTAGATTTTAGTAAGGCATTTATTTGATAGAGTTCCGCACCAAAGACTGTTGAAGAAAGTAGCAGCTCATGGCATTGGGGGAAGGGTGCTCTCGTGGATCGAATCATGGCTCACAGACAGGAAGCAAAGAGTGTCCATTGAACATTAAAATGGTATAAAATACCGACAGGTTGTTAGGTAAGACACATATGCAACAGTTAGGTATCTTTATTATGAAACGTTTCGCCTACTGTGTAGGCGAAACGTTTCATAATAAAGATACCTAACTGTTGCATATGTGTCTTACCTAACAACCTGTCGGTATTTTATACCATTTTAATGTTCAAATCTGTCAGACACTGCAACACAAGGGTATCTTGGTACAGACCTGCAATCAACTTCGACAACTTCCATTAGTAAGAGCGGCTGGATTTGAGAGGGACCTGACCTCTCAGCATCTGAGTTCTTACCTCTCCTAGTGGCCTACGTCTCACCTCTTGGCGCTATAAAAGCTCCATCCTGTCACTTCATCTCCATATTGTTTCACACTATGAAACAATGCTCTTCTCCAGACTGAGGGACTGACCACCTCAAAACTTTAAGGGTGATGGACTGATTACATCGTCTTCAAGTATCTTCTGCTTCTATCAACTTTTCTGTACTTGACTGAAGAAGCCTACTGTGTAGGCGAAACGTTTCATAATAAAGATACCTAACTGTTGCATATGTGTCTTACCTAACAAAGAGTGTCCATAAATGGGGTTAAATCCGAGTGGGGATCGGTAACAAGTGGCGTTCCACAGGGATCAGTCTTTGGGCCCGTTGTTGTTTATAATATATATCAATGATCTTGATGAAGGAATTACTAGTGATATGAGCAAATTCGCCGATGACACGAAGATAGGTAGGATAATTGATTCAAACGTAGATGTTAGGGAACTTCAGGAGGATTTAGACAAACTCTACTCTTGGTCAGAAAAGTGGCAGATGCAGTTCAATGTAGATAAATGCAAGGTTCTGAAGCTCGGGAGTGTCCATAACCCTAGCACTTATAAGTTAAATAATGTAGAACTTAACCATACAGATTGCGAAAAGGACTTGGGGGTTATGGTAAGCAGCAACCTTAAACCAAGACAGCAATGAAAATCAAAATGGTATACAATACCGACAGGTTGTTAGGTAAGACACATATGCAACAGATAGACAACTTTATTCCGAAACGTTTCGCCTACACAGTAGGCTTCTTCAGTCGAATACAGAAAGTAGGCAGGACCAGTAGAGATGTGAAGACGATGTAATCAGTCCATCACCCTTAAAGTCGTAGAATTTGAGGTTGTCAGTCCCTCGGCCTGGAGAAGTTCAGTTCCATAGTCAGGAACTATCTGAAGATCAAGCGACAGTGCGGAGACTTAAATACTGTCGGAAGGAGAGGTGCAGGGTAGTAGTAGTAGTAGTAGTAGTAGTAGTGAGAGGCAACTGAGAGGTCATGTCCCTCTCAGATCCAACCCTTCTCACTTGAAAAGCTTGTCCAAGGTGTTTTCTGTACCAAGATGCCACGTGTTGCAGTGTCTGACAAGATGAAAATCAAAATGGTATACAATACCGACAGGTTGTTAGGTAAGACACATATGCAACAGATAGACAACTTTATTCCGAAACGTTTCGCCTACACAGTAGGCTTCTTCAGTCGAATACAGAAAGTAGGCAGGACCAGTAGAGATGTGAAGACGATGTAATCAGTCCATCACCCTTAAAGTCGTAGAATTTGAGGTTGTCAGTCCCTCGGCCTGGAGAAGTTCAGTTCCATAGTCAGGAACTATCTGAAGATCAAGCGACAGTGCGGAGACTTAAATACTGTCGGAAGGAGAGGTGCAGGGTAGTAGTAGTAGTAGTAGTAGTAGTAGTGAGAGGCAACTGAGAGGTCATGTCCCTCTCAGATCCAACCCTTCTCACTTGAAAAGCTTGTCCAAGGTGTTTTCTGTACCAAGATGCCACGTGTTGCAGTGTCTGACAAGATGAAAATCAAAATGGTATACAATACCGACAGGTTGTTAGGTAAGACACATATGCAACAGATAGACAACTTTATTCCGAAACGTTTCGCCTACACAGTAGGCTTCTTCAGTCGAATACAGAAAGTAGGCAGGACCAGTAGAGATGTGAAGACGATGTAATCAGTCCATCACCCTTAAAGTCGTAGAATTTGAGGTTGTCAGTCCCTCGGCCTGGAGAAGTTCAGTTCCATAGTCAGGAACTATCTGAAGATCAAGCGACAGTGCGGAGACTTAAATACTGTCGGAAGGAGAGGTGCAGGGTAGTAGTAGTAGTAGTAGTAGTAGTAGTAGTAGTGAGAGGCAACTGAGAGGTCATGTCCCTCTCAGATCCAACCCTTCTCACTTGAAAAGCTTGTCCAAGGTGTTTTCTGTACCACTGCAACACGTGGCATCTTGGTACAGAAAACACCTTGGACAAGCTTTTCAAGTGAGAAGGGTTGGATCTGAGAGGGACATGACCTCTCAGTTGCCTCTCACTACTACTACTACTACTACTACTACTACCCTGCACCTCTCCTTCCGACAGTATTTAAGTCTCCGCACTGTCGCTTGATCTTCAGATAGTTCCTGACTATGGAACTGAACTTCTCCAGGCCGAGGGACTGACAACCTCAAATTCTACGACTTTAAGGGTGTTAGGTAAGACACATATGCAACAGTTAGACATCTTTATTCCGAAACGTTTCGCCTACACAGTAGGCTTCTTCAGTCGAATACAGAAAGTAGGCAGGAGCAGTAGAGATGTGAAGACGATGTAATCAGTCCATCACCCTTAAAGTCGTAGAATTTGAGGTTGTCAGTCCCTCGGCCTGGAGAAGTTCAGTTCCATAGTCAGGAACTATCTGAAGATCAAGCGACAGTGCGGAGGCTTAAATACTGTCGGAAGGAGAGGTGCAGGGTAGTAGTAGTAGTAGTAGTAGTAGTAGTAGTGAGAGGCAACTGAGAGGTCATGTCCCTCTCAGATCCAACCCTTCTCACTTGAAAAGCTTGTCCAAGGTGTTTTCTGTACCAAGATGCCACGTGTTGCAGTGTCTGACAAGATGAACTTTCTGTATTCGACTGAAGAAGCCTACTGTGTAGGCGAAACGTTTCGGAATAAAGATGTCTAACTGTTGCATATGTGTCTTACCTAACAACCTGTCGGTATTGTATACCATTTTGATGTTCGACTTTAAGGGTGATGGACTGATTACATCGTCTTCACATCTCTACTGGTCCTGCCTACTTTCTGTATTCGACTGAAGAAGCCTACTGTGTAGGCGAAACGTTTCGGAATAAAGTTGTCTATCTGTTGCATATGTGTCTTACCTAACAACCTGTCGGTATTGTATACCATTTTGATTTTCATCTTGTCAGACACTGCAACACGTGGCATCTTGGTACAGAAAACACCTTGGACAAGCTTTTCAAGTGAGAAGGGTTGGATCTGAGAGGGACATGACCTCTCAGTTGCCTCTCACTACTACTACTACTACTACTACTACTACCCTGCACCTCTCCTTCCGACAGTATTTAAGTCTCCGCACTGTCGCTTGATCTTCAGATAGTTCCTGACTATGGAACTGAACTTCTCCAGGCCGAGGGACT